CCAATCAGAAGTCAGTATTTAAGTTTGTTACACAAGTCTGCAGATCAAATATTAAAAGCTACAATTTGATTAGCTTCCTCTAAATACAAACCTCCCTAAATGCACATTTTAGACTAGTCTGTACATATTGCATTTATAGAGGTTTGACTGTATATATTCTCAACTTGTATATATTGAATTAAATTAATAAATTTTGATTTTAATATAAAAAGTAATTAAAATTAGTAATTATATATTATTTAAGTCAACTCATAAATGCTCAAAATATATATATATATATATATAAATAAGGTATTTTTATCTAAAAAAAAAATATATTATTTATTCACTTTAATATAGTTTTGTTCTAAAAACAAATAATTTATTAATATATATATTTAGAAAAAATTTTTTGTTATAACTTAAATTAACTTCTTTATATTTAGAAAAATATCATCAATGATATAATGATTTTTGTTTAAAAAAATCAAATACTCAAGTGTAATAGATAAAAGATTCATTCTTTTAATAGATATAATATTTCTAACTTTACTAAATAGCCTCTTACTAGATATTGAAATAGCTAAAATAGCTAGATATTTTTATACCAAATAAGCTAGAACTGGAAAGTGACTTTGATTACTTTTCCACTACTTAAATAGACATTGATTATAAGAAATTTTTGACATTCTAATATAGTCAAAAATTTTATCTATATGTGTATTATTTAATCGAAATATAGTAGTTAATAATTTGCTTATAGATTATAGTAGTTGTTTAATAGATGATATATCTATTTGATTTTGGTGCTGTTTATATACTTTATACAAAGAATTGTAAGTTCTAAACCTTAGAGATTCTAAAACAAAACTCAATGTTTTGTATTAAGGATCTAGTAATGCAGCCAATATTTTTCTTCAAATAGTACTTGCCAATAATAGTTAATAGTATTGTACAATACTATTCTTACTTTTTTTTAATATTTATACAATTATAAAGAATACTTGATTCATCATCTATTTGATCATTATCATTAAAAGCACTTTCATCATTATTATAATTTACTTGTCAAAGTATGAAATTATCAATAATCATAAGACTATTAGTAATTGCTTTAATTACACTATATATAAAACTTATTGTTAAATATTTACTACCTTCTAATAAATCAGTAGTCTTTGCAAACAGTTCAAGTATTAAGATAAGACTTTTTATAGCTTCTTACTTAGTATTAGTAAGATTATTTTTTTTAATTATGTAGCTTTTTTTGAGTTTGATAATCTTTATCTAAGGATAGCATTATAATTATAAGATTAATTATATTTTGAATCTTAATTGGCTGTTGCTAAGCAAGATAAGAAGAATTTTATCTTGTTGGCACATCAGCAATTATATGTAATTCATGATCATTTTGAAAAAGATTCTAATTAAATTTAAAAAAAAATATTTTTATTTAGTAACTAAAAATACTATAAAGAAAAGTTATAACTTGAAGAGAGTATTTTAAACTAATTTTCAATAAAAAATTGTTTATTAAATATTATTGGTTTTGCAAATTTAATTTATATTACAAATAATCATAAATTCAAATAATAGTAAAATTTAGATTTTTAATTTAAAAAAAAATATAAGCTTTATTAAATCTATATACAGTCAAACCTCCATAAATACAATGTATACAGACTAGCCTAAAACATGCATTTAGAGAGATTTGCATTTAGAGGGAGCTAATCAAATTGTAGCTTTTAATATTTGATCTGCAGACTTGTATAACAAACTTAAATATTAACTTCTGATTGGCTATATGCACTTAGAAAGGTTAGTATAATATAAAAAATCTTTTGAATGAACGTGCATTTGCAGAATATAGAACGTGTATTTAGCACTAATTATTTCATGTAGCTAAAACAAAAACGTGCATTTAGGGAGGTATTGTATTTATGGAGATTGCATTTAGGGAGGTCCAACTGTATACTCTTTTATTAATAATACTAACCTTAAATTTTAATTTAATTATAAAAAAAAGCTAATAAAAAAGGCTTTAAAAATTTTTAAAATTGTATATAAAATAGATTCAAATTTTACTATTATTTGATTTCATAATCATCTATAACAATTTATATTTAAATATATATAGATTAGAATTTTAAAGTAAATACTTACAATATTTTTATTACAATTAAAATTTTTTTGAGCTTCCAAAAGCCACTAAGTTTGTTTGGAAATAGTAAAATATAGCATAAGTTTTTTTGCTCATTTAACTAAATTTCTATTTTTAAAAGACCTTTTTTAATAACTAACTGAAGAGTATGTATTATATATGGGATATAAATTATATCTTGTATTAAATCTAGTACTTTAATTATATTACTATTATTATCTGTAGTAATTAAAAAAATTTTATTACTAAGATTTTATTTATTAATAATTAAAATTAATATTTTAGCGATAAGCTTATCCGAATATAGATAAGGAAGATAATTAATAGAAGGAATAGTTTCTTGTAATTGAAAATTAGTATCAACATATAAACAAATTAGACTTAAGTATTCTAATTTATTATATCCAGTCCATAAATCACAAGTTAGTAAGCATGATATAATATTTTTTTAAATATATCTAATAATAATTGCTTAGTATTTTCATATATTTCAAAAAATAATTGTTAGTAATATTTTTTATTTAAAAATTGATATAATGGATCAAATTCTGCAATAAAATCTCTAAGGCTTTTATTATTTTGAATATTTAATAGTTGTTAATTTTTAATTAAAAGTTCAACAAATTTTTGATCTAAATAATACTTATATTTTAGATTATTATAAATCATTTTATCAATTTGAAATTGTAAAGATAAAGATTGTTTTATTTTTTTATTATGTAAACTTTTAGTGATACCATGTCATATTGCTAAGTGCTCAATATAATTTTCTATTGAACTATCTACTAAGCCTATAAGATGTTTACATAATTCACTTTTATTATTATTTTTATGAACTTCTACTAAACAACTTACATTTGTTTTGTAGAGTGATATAGCTTTATAATATTAATAATAGGACCAAATCTAATTTCATTCTGAATGGTTCATAATTGGAATTAATTTTATTTCTTTTAAATTTGATATTTTTGATATATTTTTGAGTTGGTTTTGTAAGATCAAATAAAGTGTATTATCTTGATTATCTTTAATAACTAGATTATCATTATTATCATTAGCCAGATTAATATTATTATCATTAATCAGATTATCTTCATATTTATTAACCAGGTTATCTTCATATTCATTAACTAGGCTATCATTGTATTCATTAACTAGATTATTATATTCATCTAATATATTATTATTATTGATTGAATTATTATATTTGACAAATATATCAACCATATTATTATATTTATCTGAAATAGCAACTTCAGATTGAGATAATTTTAATATATTTGCATAAGGTATTTTCTTTTGTTTTTTGTATTTTTTATCAAATAGAACAGCAGTATCTTTCTTGCTAAAAGTAGTTTTTTTTAAGATTATAGTATCTTATTTTCAAACAATTATTTATATTTTAAATTTTGAGTCTTTACTAATTTATTATTTATTTAATATATAGCAAGAATTTAAAATCATATATATATATTTTTTTTGAAATTTGAATAAATTAACTTCTAAATTATATTTGATAAAATAAATAATTTATTACAAATCATATACAAATACTGCCAAAGTAAAATCTTAAAAATTTTTTTATTGTATCAAATTTGATTTTTAAAAAATCTACTATAATTAATTGATTATTATTAATTAGTGCTTTAGCTATATAAAGATTCAAATAAATGTTACGAATATGATAAATAAGATTTATAGATTATACATATCTTATTAACTCTTTATATGCATATAAAACTTATGATCTTGCTATATACTGCAATTATGTATAAATATAGTAGTTTAATAAAATATTGTATTAGTTAAATATAGTCTTGTACGTAGTGATATTGTATGAGATTTTTTAACATAGATATGTATATACATATATATGTATATACAATAATATATGCAAGATATTATTATAAAACTGGGCAAAACCTGAGTTATAAGTTAACAAAATCAGATATAAAGATCAGATTAAAATCAAGATAAATTTATTTGTATGAAAGCAGCCCAACTAGTTGTATATTAATTACATTAAAGTGATTGTTAATAAATCTAATTTAATTTATATATATCTTTATTATTATATATATTTTAGATTAACCGAATAGATTAATCAGATATCTTAATTAATAACCCATTAATCAATTTCATAATCTGGATATTTGGATAATCTAATAGTTACCAATTATCATACCTTAAGATATAATTAGTATTCCAAGTTGGTAAATATTTTACTAATCGATTAATTATTAACTATAGTTGCAACTAATCGATTGTTCATATTATCAGATGATTAGCCAATCAAACAAAAGGATTTAATATAGATCTGCTCGAACTAGACAGAATTTCTCAGAATTGTACTAGTTGAATAATTAATCAATTAGTTGTTTAAAATTTTTCAAATTGACTAGTTAGAAAGTTAGCAACTAGTTGGTTTTTAACTAACAATTTGGAATACTAGGTATAATCACTATCATGAACAGCATAATATATATTAAACTATTAGGTTTTTTACTATTACAGAGAAGTAGTTGTTTACTACTATCTTTCATATTTATTCTTATAACTACTAATACATTATTAGCAAATATATTGTAGTTGCAACTATTATCAAACAAAAACAAAGCAACTTTTTCTAAGTAAGTTTGTTCAAATATTAGAATTGTACATTCATTTACCTGCTTAACAAGATCTTTACTTGTCCACTAGCTATTACGATTTGTACTAGAATATATAACAACACAGGCTTTAGTATATATAAACTATTTATTATTAGGTAATGAATCATTAATAGTATACTTCTCCTCTGAAAATTGAAGACACCTGATAGATTCACAAATAAAGTTACTTATATAGATACTAAGATCTTGCGACTTTTGACAAAATTGGTTTTCATCTTCTAAACCCTAAACCTTGATAGCACCATCTTTAGTATAAAATAATAACTTATTCTAGATAATAGAAACAATCTTAGATAAAAGTAAAAGTTAAATAATCTGATCTAAATTTTTATCTTTATAAGTAGCTATAATTTTGCAAATTTCTATAGAAATTTATACTGATATGCTACTATATCCTTATGTTCGTAACTATTAAAATATATATATATTTTTTAAATAATCTTTATATTGCTAACCAAACCTATACAACCATTCATATACTGTTGTATATAAAATAGATATTTTTTTCTCTATTTCAAGAGCAGGTATAACTTCATTCTCAATAAATTTTACAAATTCAGCAATTCTCAATGTAAATTTGTGTACATGCAAATATTTAGTAATTTGTAATTTAAAATCTTTATGGAGAAGAAGAGATCTGATCTTTGTATGATAACTACGTTTAGATAAAACAATCTTACCTTTATTTAACTACTGGTTTGCTTAAGAATAATAAGCTATGCATGCTATGATTCTTTGTCTAAGCTTTGAGAAAATAATATACTTGTATCTATCTTGCTAAATCTCTAATCCTAAATCAGATGAAGATATTGACTCACCATTCTAAGCCACAAGTTATTGCTTTTATTTTTTAACAATAAATCTAAAGATCCTAATATAAATTTACTATCATCATCATCACTACTATTGTATATGTCATTGAATATAAAATCATAATTTTTCACAGAAAACTCAGTAAATTTAGGGAATTCAAAGGACTCAAAGAACTCAGAAGCTTTAACATTCTTTAGTGAAAATATATCAGTAATCTTTTTAGAACCTGAAGCTGTCTTTTTTCAATATACTCTCTTGTTATACAATATTGATTCTGTATCATCTCTATATATTAGTTCATATGAACTTGTAGCCTATATATTTGTTTTTGCATTTTTAACTAATTGCTTCAGTATATTTTGTTGTAGCTCTTGTAGTTGATCTATGATTTCTTCACTATCAAAATGATTTTCTTCACCTTCAATTCAAAAAATACTGAAACATTTATCATATTCATCAGATTTAGTATCTGATAACTCATCAGGGTCTTTTATTTGTACCTCACTAATAACTTCTTCATATTCAACAGGCTTAGGCTTTAATTCTTCAACTATTCTAGATTCTAATTCTTCAACTAGTCTTGATTCTAATTCCTTATCAGAAATTTTTGCTTGTTTTCAATATTTTCAAATAGCTTTTAATAATTGTCTTGCATATTTACTTCTTTTTGGTATTAAAATTTAAAAATATCTAAAAATATTAATTATAATAAGTTGTATTTGTAGCTAGTTTGAAATCTCAAATTAAATATGAAAAGTTATCTAAAACTTGAAAAAAAATATTAAAAAAGTGGTTAAATACTTATAAAGATACCAAAGATAGTAATTTAGACAATTACTTGGAATTGTTTAAATTAGAAAATATTTGATAATTTATTGACAATCTTTGTATAACAATATTTGAATATTTCCTAATTTGATTAATTTTTCTTACTTTATTTTTTTATTTAGAAAAAAATAAAAAAAAAATATTTGGAATTATTTTGTATAATAATTGTTGATGCTTCTTTGTGAATAAAGACAGGTTTAATTTTTATTTTTTATTTGTAAAATATTACGCTTTTAAAAAGTATTTTAACCTGTATAAATACAATTGTAAGTAATTGACCTATTAGAAGAAAATTATATATATATCACTTCAATACTAATTAGATTTTTTAAAGATTGATTTTATATACATAAAATTTGATCTGGTTTAGGTATATTTTTTTTAAAACAATAGTTTTAAACTAACTATATATATAATAGAGCCAGTTTTAATTTTACAGGAAATTAACAAAAATTATTGCAAAAATAGCTCTATTATAGTATAAAAAAAATAGTACAATCCTGCCTATTAGATAAAAAATATATCTAAATTAATACAAATTCATATATGAGTATCATCAAGAGAAAACCTGCAAATCTAAAAATATAAATTATTTATAAAATTTATAAATAATATATTTTGATTTGCAGGTTTTTCCTTGGCAATACTTATATATAGAATCAATCTTTAAAAAATTCAATCATAGTGATATTCTAACTATTATTTGATTAGTATGTTTTTAAACAATATATTTAATGAGATTAGTTAGTAATTTTAATAGTATTCAGCTATTATATATAGCAACATTTAGGCTATTCTCAAACTTCTTCCTCAATATGTTTACTAAATGATCTGATTGGTGATAAAATTAATTATGACTATTACTTAGTTCAAAAAAATCTGAAGCTAATTACTAATTTTTTTCAAAGCTAAAATTATATATTTAGAACAATAAATTTTTAACAATTTATTCTTTGATTAATTATATTAACTACTCAATTAATTGTAATAATTTGAACAATATCTCAATTATTAGCTAATTATATTGAGAGAAATGCTTAAGAATACTCTTAATTAGATTATTGTTGAAAGCCACTAGTTTGAGTAATAATATAATTGAATTATTCTTATATATCATACTCTATGTAGTTAAGTATTATGATAAATTAAAATATTGACTGCTATTATTTTTTAGCATTAATGATATTATATATAGTTTCACAAAATCGAAATAAAAAAATAAACAAAAAAAAAGATAAAATAATATTTATACAATTTAAATTTTTGTTTTGCTATTTCAGCCTTTACACATATACTATTTGAAAATACAAAAAATATTGTTTTTCTGACAAAAACAGCATTTACTTTTTAATGTTTTTATTACTCTTAATTAAATATTTTATTTGTATATAAAAATTTTATTAGCTATATTTTGAGAATTTGCATTTTGTAAAATGATAAACTTGCTATCAGAATTTGGTCTTTTAATTAGTATAAATTTTAAGCTTAAGTTTTAAGTATATCACTTTTTAATTGATAGTTATTTGAAAGTGACGTCTAACCAAAGATGCTGATTTTGTAAACTATCAATTACATGCAGATGAATTTTTCAATTTGGTAATTTTATAAAATTTAATCTATTTATTTATATAATATTGAATGATCTCTGATAAAATAGAATTGATAATACTTGATCTTTGATAAAATTAAATTGGTCAATTGCTTGCCTTAACTATTAATCTGCTTATAAATTGATTATAAAACTGTTCATAAAACTGCATAATAATTATAAATCATCATTGTATTTAATTGGCCAGTTATTTTTTTTGGCAGTAAATTGCTTATAAAACTGATCATAAAGCTGTATAATAAATTATTGCATGGGTTTATGTAACAACCTGTGCAAATTCGACAAGTTTATTTTACTGATCTGTATGAAAATCATATGATTTTTATATAAATCAGTGAAAATTGGTTATTTTTATTGTTTTGAATTCAGGGCCAGGAAAGAATCTTTTTTAAAAATATTAATTACAGGGCCAGAAAAAATCATGAATTCAGGTTGAAAATTATTCGTTAGACAAGAATTTTTTAAATTTCTTGAATTAAGAGACGGGAAACATTATCAGCAAGAATTTTTTTAAAATACTTGAAATTGGGGCTAGGAAATTTAATATTGTATGCTTAAGATCAAGAAACTTTAATTGCTCATATTTAATAAAAAGCTTTTTTACATAATAAAAAAAACTTAATTATGTATTATATTTTTAAATCTCAAATTTAAGATTTAATGTAATCATTAATGGTTTGTCTGTAGGTGGAATTTGCAATATAATATTTGGTAAAATCAGATTAAAAACTTGACAAGTTGATTGAAGATTGAGGTAACTTTGTGCTTGTACTTGAACTTGGTTATTTTTTCTTGATTCAGGTTTATATTTTGTTGAATTATTTGTTGATTTTCTTGTGACGATATTTGACTTTCATTGTTTGACAGATTTTTTTTAAAAGAGGAGGTTTAAATGGCTGATAAAGTTTTAAATTAATTTGAGAATGAGTTGAAGCTTTAGTTAAAGTTTTAGTTGTCTTTAGCTTTTTTTGTGATATGTTATTGTCAGCTCGATTATCTTGAATGTATTAAATAAAAATTAGTAATATTTTTTTTTTAAATTTAAAAAAAAAATTTTACCTTCGCATTTATTTTCAGCTACACGCTTATCATTTATATTATTTTTATTCACATGCTTACTACTCGAAACATTAGTATCATCATCCTCACTATCAGATTCATGAGTATACAAATTACTCAGATAAGAATAAAATTCTTCAAGATCTTTGTCAATTGCTGCATATAGAATTAGTGTTGCTGTTGATCTTAATTGTTGATTATTAGTGGGTTGGCTATATGTTCTAACACCTTCACGCGATCTATAACCAGAAAAACACATTATTTCATCTTCAGATACATCTGAAGCTTTCAAAATCTTAATCGTAGTTCTTCGTGCACAGTGATTTGTGATTTTATGTTCATTAACATCAATTTCAGTTTTTAAAGTTATTTGGTATAACATTCCCCTTAATTTATTTGTATCTATTCGTGATGATTTATACCAAATTCCATTGTCAAATTTTAAATAAAGATAAATTAATTTTAAATTTAAATTTATTGTTATATATAATTATTGTAAATATCTAATTTTTTTCTTATACATTCTAAAAACAATAGATCGGTAACTTGACAGTTTGATGGTCGTTTAGATAAATAAAGCAATATATCGCCTATAGGCTTAAATTGGTTATCATCATGATCAGAAGAAATTGGAACTGTTCTTGTAGCTATATGTCCATATCGTTGACGATAAAAAATGCCACCTTGATTATTTTTTTCTTTACGAAAACGTAGCTGCAATCCACCATCCTTACGTCATTCAATATCACGATATTGCAAGTTATATGTATCCCTACTACAAAGTCCAAAAAGCAAAAATAACCAGAAAAAAACCTTCTGAATTAAACTCTTATTGCTATCAATAGATAAATAATCATGTTTTAAACAGGAAGAAATCTCGGCAGAAGTTAATGGTCTACTTTGATCAGTATTACTAAACCCTGCATTTTGTAATGATCTCATCTTTCCATTTAAATATCGTTAGGTTTTTGAAAAACTATATCGATTCCAAATACGTATTCCACCTGAAATTGCTGTATTTTCTTTTAAAAAATGGGCTATTGCTGCATAACAGTTATGTAAAGACTCAACTTTGAAGGGAGTTCCATCCTTTCTTTCAATCTAAGCAATAAATAAACTTAGGTAGGTGTCAAGTTCTTCCTTATTATCAATTTTCTCTAACCTTTTATCAATGTTACATTCTTGTCTATATCGTTCTACATACCAGAATCACTTTTCAGTATTCTTGTCAGTATTAGTGACCCGGGATAAATTTGTAAACCGTTGGACTTCTTCTTGTAAATCATCACTCATTTTTTTTAAAATGTATATAATAAAAGGTCAATAAAAAAAAGTGAACGGGAAGAGTAAAAAAAAAATACAACGAAAAAAATTTGCTTACTTTATATTGCATAATAATTCTAGTGATTAAAAAAGTGATCTATCGCTATCGCTATTATTTTATTATTTAAGAAAAGGTATACACGGGTTGTTACATCAGACTCTTGCAATAATATAGTTATTAGGATAATAATTTATAGTTATTGCACGGGTATGTAGTGAATAACCGAGTAATAACTGGATGTTCTATAGAATAGGTGGGTAAACTCCACAAACTCCGCAACTCCACTATTAAAAAATCCATGATGGATATTCTATAGAATCATAGACAGAAGTTCGTTTGATTGGTTAATTTTTATAGATCTACCTGTGATTTCCCGTGATTATTAACCAATCAAATTACATAATTTTTAAAAAAATTTATCGTTCTAACACTGCTAGAAAACGAAAAAAAATTATAAAGAAGCCTATAAGCTAATACATACACACG